GAATGGTGGACACAAAGTAAAAGTGCTCTTCAACATTTTTTTGAAGATTTCAGTCTGATTTGGAATTCATCTTGCAATATTTCTGGATTTGTATATTTGGATATAAGCGTCAAATTTTCAACTTATTGACTAAACAGTTTTGCGTTAAATATTGCCAATGCTATCTATTATTACCATTTCCCTCCAAGATAACATGTCAAGTCTTTATTGCACCCCTTAAGCTCTGTTATACCAGAAAAATCTTGTAATGAAATCATTTAGTTTTTTTTTTCTTGTTTGATTAAATCCATGAAAATAAAGATTATTTTTAATGGCATCAAGAGAATGGATTTCTTGTTTAACAAAAAGATAGTATACATGTTTTGCTAGGGCTTTGTAAGAAGCAGACCAGAATTCTTTGCTTTCAAATTTTGTCATTCGCCATTTTTATTACGTCAACTAGTAGATGATTTATCCATGTTTGAAGCATTTCAAAATTGATATTTACTTACAGTTTAAAGCAGAATTCTGTACTGATATGACCTTGACCCCCTGAAGAACAAGAGTGTCAAGGTCAATTTTTAATACAAAAATGTTCTTTCATCTTTATGGCCCATATCTTACAAACAATATGATGAAATATACAAAAAGTGTCTAGAATGTGTCCAGAATGTGAAATAACAAACATGTATATAGGCAAAAACTTTAAAATGATGTTGCTTAGCAACCACTTAGAGGTCATTAAACAGATATTTGAACTACAATGATGCATGGATATTGCAGTTCTGATCCCTTCTTTATAGTATATTCAGAATTTTCCATTTCAGCATCCATTGTGTAAAATTATGGCAAGAATATTGAAAAGTGTTGAAAAAAAACTGATGAAACTTTTGCACTTATTTGACCTTTGACCTCCTAAAAATAGTTCTAATGAGGTCAAACTTTAAGACAATTTATCTGTTGTATGTCCCTTGTAATTTTATGACCTCACATCTAACTTTTATATGTGCTGGGATGCATAAATGTGTCTAGGATGAGTAAAAAATGAAAATTTCTGCCCGAAAATTAAAGAATTCTGCGTTGCTTAGCAACCCCTTTTAAGTAGTTATATGCAGAATTGAAAAAAAAGTTTATGTGTTTCATGTAGTACAGTATAATGCTCTTTTGTGGGTATATCCCAAATTTCCTATTTCAACATGCATCATACTTAATATTTAGCTTAAAGATGAAAAAGTATCAAAAAATCCCATAAAATTTTGCACTTAATTGACCTTTGACCTCAATTTTTACTAATAAGGTCAGTGGTTGAGTATCTAAACAGTCATAAAATATCATCTGTAAGAAATTTCCTACAAAATGGTATGCATTATGCCTAGCTTTGCCCTTGGATAAAAAAGTTAAAAATAATTTAATAATGCCATGTCAAAAGGCCTCCAAAATCACGTAAAATGCGCCGGAAGAGAAAGGGTTAAACAGAAGTTTTTGTATATCTAAAAGAAATAACCTAGAGTATTAAACACAACTTTAATTTTTTTCTTTATAAATGTCTACATATGTTTTCCTCAGGTCCCTATATCTGTCCTACCACGAGACGTACATGTATTCTTTACCATCAGCTTAATCACTGTTTATTTTTGTCAAATAATATAAAAGTAAGATTTTGACTCGACTTCACATTCAGATATTGACGACCTTTTTCAATTTTAATAGTTGTTTTCCTTCATTTTAAATTTCATAAAAAGAGAACAACAGAGACTGCAATATCAATTTTATATATTTTGAAATTTATTAAGCCCTTGCACATAAAATATCTTATTACAAATCAACTACTTGACAACTTATTTTTAATCGGCAACATCTGCTATATGAAGCTAAATTAAATATATGAAGCTAAATTCGATTAACATATACTGTTACAGTTTTTTCTTCTTCTTCTTAAAAACTAAGCCGATTCCTCTTTGGCCTTTATAAATTTCTCTTTTCTCTCAATAAATGGCTTATCGGTGCAACGTTTTTTTTTTATTGACCATGTTTCATTTCAGAAATATATTCACTGCTTCTTCTTATTTAAATAAAACAAATGTAGATAACAAACAGTATTCAAGATCCAAGTCCATAAAACAATACAAAACAGGAGAAGAGCAAACACGGACCTTCAAAACATCACAGGTGTGATCAGGTGATATGGAAGAGTGGGCATCCCCTGACGACCGGTCAAAACCGCCGTGTGCTCCTTTTCTTGATTTGGAAATAACAGAAAAAACCGTCGTGAATTAAGTGTAAATATTTAATAACGGATTGCTTTGTTTCATTGAACAAGGCATGTATATTTTTGGTGAACATAGAGTAGACGTAAGATGACATGAAGAGGATTCATTTTGAAAAGTCCGTTCGGACAATTATAAAATAATAAACAGAATTAAAAGAGATTTCATTCAGGTGGATTCAGGGGCCACGCTCAAAGTGTCATGATCGGATGAAGAGTGTAATAATTATGAGGTTACAATTCCTTTGAAAACAACCATCTATAATTGACTCTTAGCCATATAATATTTGCATCCAAGTAGATAAAATTCTTTCGACTGTAGGATTTGCAAAAAAAATAAGCGATAAATATACAAAATTTTTATGTCATGCATAAAAAAAAATTATTACAAAAATATAATGCCAAAATAAAACATGATAAGGGAATGAAAATATATGCAATAAGTGGTGATTGATGACAAAAATATATGATCAATAGATTAAAATTAACTCTTCATTTGAATGAGATCGAAACAAATCAAAGACATAAATTAATCATTTTATTCGTTGTTCGCCTTTGACGTCAACAATATATAGATGAGGAAATGAGTATTAAACATATACGAATATGTATTTTGAATTCCAAGTGACAAAATACTGTCAATTTCAATGCCACTTAATAAAAAAATTGCAAAACAGTCCATTATAAAAAGATAATACATGTATATTTATTCTGAAATTTTTCTGACTACAGGTATATTAAATGAAAGATCCGTAGTTTAAACAAGAAGAATTCAAAGTAATCTATTTTTTTCATTCTAATTAAAAGAAAGATATTGTAAATATTAGTAATGCTTTTTATTAAGTAATAAATCCTTGTAAAACCATTTTTGCAGTACTGTAGTAGAATTTTTATTAAAAACCATTTACACAAACAAATAACTTTCAAATCGTCATATCTGCATTTTATCACCCAGAAATAGATTCTTCTTTTATACACATGCCGAGATTATAAATGTAAATGAAATAAAAGACTCTATACAGAATCTTCAAAATCAGCCACGCACATACTTGGGTGTTTTACTGAAATACTGTTAATTAAGGCAAAATGACAGTTTAAGTGCATGACAAACGGGATGGCCCTTGCTTTTCCACCAACTTAAGTTATTTATGTAGTAATCAACAATTACCTGCATAAGTGTTTATCTATCCTAACGTATAGTCAAAGACATGACTCGAGTACAATCAGGTTTTGATATATTTGCAGATTTTTATTGTTTGTACTTCGCTTAGTATTAATTGGCTTGTTTAATTGTCAGTTTCATGTTTTTACATGCATTATTATCAACCCATTTACATAGATAATACCACTACCTTTTGCATATTTTCGATTGTGTGTGGTAGTTTACAATGGTAATATTCTTAAGGTGACAGTACTGTTGGGATACTGAATTTTTAAAGCAGAATATCATTTTTTTCAAGATAATTGTGGAACAACTCTTTTCCAGGGCAAAATAATTTTTTCTGGTGAAATATGACGTAAAAACAATTTTCAAAAAAGTATCAAGAAAAACCTCCACCAAATGTTATTATATGCTCTGCAGAAGAGTATTACTGTAGTTACCGTGAAAGAGATAATAAAAATATTAGATAAACAACAAATGTCCTATACATTACAACTTAAGCTAGTTCATTTAACAAGTGATCAATTTCTAAAACGAGGTAAATAATTGACAACAAAGTTGACAAAACATCGACAGTCTTGTTTAATGTCATCATTTCATAATTTCTACGGTAGATACAATCAACCTATCATTGAGTCAAATGCTGACTGACGTTTTTTTAATACTAAGTTCAATATATACTTATAAGTCCATTATTTATGCGCTATATTGACGATAGATTTTTCCGTTATTTTCCGATCCTGACAAGGAGCACATGACGAGTGTGACCGGTCGGCAGGGGATGTTCACTCCTCCATGGCACCTGATCCCACCTCTGATGTTTCGAACGTCCGTGTTTGTTCTGCTCCTATTTTAAATTGTTTTATGGACTTTTGATCTTGGGTACTGTTCGATACTTCCATTTGTTGCATTTATTTAATTAGAAGAAAATACATTATCATTTATGACAGTTATTGACTTACTTTGCTTGAAAAATAGGAAGTATAAACATGCTACTGCTGTATCAACGTAACTCGAAGAAGTTTATTTATCAAAATTAAGATAATTCGACATCATCTCTATTCATACATCAAAGAATTTGCAATTACTAATATAATAATAAATGCTCATCTTTTGATTTCGTTCTTTCAGCAAGTATGCAGATATTTTTCACAAATATTCACAACAATCAGGTAAATTAAACTGGATTTTGATGATTTTTAGCTTAACAATGTTTAAAATATTGGTGGAAAAAAGAATTATTTCCAGTCAAGAAAGAAAAATTAATTTATCTCCAGAGAATGATTGTCGCGGATAGAATTAAAACTGATTTATAACGAAAGTTAAAGTGCAGGAAATAAGCCTTTTAGTTAACTTTAGTTATGCAACGCCTTAGTAACGCTAGCTTTTTACAATCATTTAAAGCATATTAATATAATACAATCAAATCCCTTGCATTACATAATGTCATTTAAGCATTTCAAGAAAAATAAGCAGCATAGTCGGAAGATGTATTTATTTGCAAACAAGAAAAAGTATTTTATTATTAAAAACACCTTTTCTGTTAATTTCAAGTACTTTTCAAAACATGAATAATAAACACGGAGTATATTTAATAGCAAAAGATATTTATTCCATAAAAAATATTGCACATAAGAAATAATTCTCTCACGTTGGGCACTTGCATACAAATAGCACACACTGAATGATTAATGATATACATATACAGGCGATGATTTGGCAACATTGGATTTTAAATGTTTGAGGTACAAGATATCATTTCCAATAAGGAATATACACTGAGAAACGTGAACATAAATTCTACCTCAACAACAAACATAAAAACATAAACAAGTTATAACAATTATTTGAAATCCCTATTATCACAGATAATCACATCACAAATTGATGCTGGAATATAACATTTTCAATAGTATTATGAGACATGTATATATAAAAACTATATTATATTCATTTTTAGAATTAAAAAAATAACTTATTTTCTTATTCTCATATCAAAAGACAAAACTCAGGGAACCAAGCAATTAATCTTCAATTTCAAAACTTAGACTTTTCTCCAAAGTACAAAAAAATGGAAATGGTTAGTAAAGTTGTATGGTCTTCATGACGCTTTAGCCTTGCAATTTCAGGAATGGGTTGAATTTTTTGGGCATGGTGTTGAGACACTTGACTTCTTGTAGACTACAGGTCTGGGGGAGGGCGAAGGTCCTGGTCCTACACTGGGGGACGATGTCGGGGCAGTACATGATAACCTCTCTCTCCTGAATCATATCAGGGAGACACTGGTAGGAGGGGGACATCTTCACAGTCAGTGCCGGGAGTTTTCTGAAGGAACGACAAAGCATGGATGTAAAAATATTGAATAGTAAAATATTTAAATTTACCTACAGTGTATATAAGTTGTGCTCACTATCACTAACCCTAAAAATTGATCTTCTTGATTTTTTTGAAAAAAACATTCATTATCTATATAAATATATATACTGATTTGTTATTGTTTTATTGATTTTTGGTATAATATTGTAGGTAAGGCAAACAAAATCTTCGAATGTAAGTCAATTTTAAAATAAGTATTGACACTAACAAGCAAGCAAATAAAATTGTATGTATTTATATAAACTTACTCTCCACATGTGGTGTACCACAGTCTCTGGGTGGGCGCCACATAACAGCGGTAGGTGCCGTTCATCCCGTTGTGGTCCTCAATAGTGAGGTAGGCCCCCAGGACGGGAACTCTCTTCTGAATACACACGTCCTTACACCCAAACTCGTGCTTGTCGTGCTTAAAGTACCTGTAGGACAACAGATTGGTTTTTAATTTATAAAAAAAATTCAAGTCAAACTGATTCAATAGTATTGTTTTTAAAATCTTTTGATAATGATACAATCTTGCATACCCTTTCATCTTTCGGTTGGTAACTTTGGCACTCTCAAATTTATTCTAACTTACCCGTATTCGCTGTAGTCCAGTGGGTTGTAGTATTGATTAAAGGCCTGCAGCCTGTTCCATTCCTCAGCGTTTGTTCTGACACTTTCCATGACTCTTCTTTCTTGTCTAAAGATAACAAAAATATCCCATTAGATCATAAAATAAGTAAATATGAAAATAGTAATTTAACAATAAGTTTATTGTAGGTATATAGGAGAAACACAAGCAATTTTTTATTTAATTGTTGTTTAATATTTAAAAAAAAGAAACAACAGGAAATTTCTTATACTTACTCTGGATTCCAGTGTGGGGTGATGAAGTCCTCGGGTTTGACAATCTCGGCGTGACCGGAAGCCTCACATTGTGGGGGACCGGAGGGTCTACGCCCCCTCCCCCTCGCTCCTCGTCTGAGAGTCTGAGTCAAAAACTGACTTCCGAAGGACTTAGGTTTCTTAGGAATAAGGGCCTCAGCCAAAATGGCGGCCAGACTGATGACTGCGAGGGAAATCAGGAGCTTTACAATCTGAAAAAATAGAAAGTGAGTACAGTTGTCACAACAAAATTATACAGCAGAAGATATTCAGAATGTTTACACAACTTTGCATTTTTTTCGAAAAAAAATACGGAAGGATGAATTTAATGTTATAAATGAAGAGTTTTTTTTCCAAAATGAATAAAATAGCGTCCAATTTGTTTTCTATTTATCCAAAACATTCAAGTCTTACCATGTTGTTTGCTATGCTATTTCTGTTTTCTTGTTGGTATGACTTACACTAGTGGATGTAATCTCAAGGTAAGACACTTGAGTTTATATACCAGAGTATCGCGGAAAAGACGTCCCAACCATAACCACATCGACCAATCAAAGTTATCGGGCTAGTACGCACGAGGAATGACGTATTCATGTCTAAATCTAGTGAATGATTACATTTACTACTTCAAAGATTAGAAAAAAAATTATGTTAATTATCAACTTAAGAAAAACCACAACATTAAATTTGCTATGTTAACTTTATTAATCATCAACTGTATCTAACAATTTAATATTTTAAGGCATTGTGATGGTAAATTTTATTTGTATATATTTTGTAAATTAGAGAATGGAGACTTTAAAGAGTGGTTGCAATTTTCATAAAAAAACATTTATATTTACATGGAGGGAAATTCAATTATGTAATAAACAGTTAAATTTCAAGATTTATATTTTATTCATAATGGAGGTAATAATTTCTCTATTTTTTTGTAAGACTATTTCCGTTAAAATTTGCCAATTCTGCATTTTCAAAGAAAAACATTTTGTGTTCTATTTTTCTCACGTATGACGTCAAACCGAGCTATTCCTGTTTTCTGAAACGATCATTGTCCCGAGATGGTAAGACACAGAGAGCCTTAAAATCTATGACGTGTGTCAGTCAATCAACCATGCGTGAAATGACAAATGAACCGTTATTTCCACCTGCCAGTAGTATAAAAGGCGAGAATACACACAGTCTCGACAATAAATCCGACCAAGTCATTACAAGTGCTCAAAATAGCAAGCATGGTAAGAAAGTACTGTCTTATAATATGAAGAAAAATATTTTGGGTTTAGGAATACTTTAATCATTTTTTTTCAATTAATACAGTCTTTTCAATAATGTAGAATGTGAATGTGAAGATGTTTTTAAAATCACGTTCTTTTAGAAAGATGAAATGGACACAAAAATAATAAATAAAAACAATTATTTACTAAGTATATCTAAATATATATATATATATATATATATATATATATATATATTCATATAGGAAATGCTAAGTTTTTAACAATATTGTTTATGCTTTCAGATGTTCTACTTTCTCGTCCTTGCACTAGCTGCTACAGTGCAGTCCGTTATGTACGGCCCCGGGGCTCCTCTCGCCAGCGACCCTCGACTTACAGGGGTCAACACCAACCCCTTCGCAGATTTCATGAGGCTTCCCATCCAGATGAACCAATGTAGTGCCTCCACTCATTTCAGCGCCAACGCCATCTTTGATCAGAGTTTTGTGTGCGCCAAGGACGTTAAACGTCCACAGAACTGGCCAACCTCAAACATCGACAGATTTTTTATCCCCGACCCAGAACTCCAAGGATACAATCAGTAAGTCTAAGATTGATTTTGGTTTTGGAAAAAAAAGTTGTACTCATACTTTTAAACAAATGTTTTGATAGTAGATGTACAAAATTTAAATAAGCAATGATTGTTTACGATTTTTCTATTATCAATTTGTAGACAGCCCCTCTACAGGGCCTTCGCTAACCCTCAGAACGACCCAGCGGCCATGGCCTACTACAAACAAACATATGACGCCCTGGAGTCTTGGAAATACTCTGGACTGGAACAGGAATTCTCTCAGTGTTTCTCCGATCTCTACAGATACGAGTAAGTCTCCCTTTACAATTCCAGATGTCCAAACTATAGTTTTCTCAGTCACCAATGCTTGGGGTTGATCATTAAAGAATAGTTTCACAAGAAGTAAAGCAAAAGAATCATTCCTGCAAGATCTGTTTAAATACATTGGAAAACAAAACACAATTTTTTGTCAAAACGAAAAGGAAAATATTTTTTAAATTACAGTTCTATCCAATTTAAGAATGGTGTATTGTTTTTCTAGAGATGCCGTCCAGATCACTGAATACAAGCTAGACCCAGTCTGTAAGACTACCCTGGTGAACCTGACAGACGAGGCTATCTGGCACAACTATAACGGCAGGGACTACAAGTGTTTTATCCCATTCCCTCAGCAACTCACAGCCGTCAAATGTACTCACCCGTAAGTAGCGTACTCCATAAACATCTTGTTACAAGATTAATTTTTAAAACTAATACAATGTATTAACTTCAGAATCTTCAAAATAATTCTTCAGCTTAGAGCAAAGTTCAAAGCTGCCTGTAAATAGCACATCAAGTAACTTGCTATGTTTTTATTATTAATAAATTTCCAATTTAGTTTATTATAGAGAGAAAAATAACATTAAAGTAAAAATGTTAATTTTTCTTACAGACGATACCCCGCCATAGATAAGTGCCGACTTGGATACAGTGTTAGAGATGAATACAGATGTGCCCCAACCAACTTTGTCCGCAGAAAGGTTAATCTTGTTTGTCCAGAAATCCAGATGGTCTTCGTCCGATCCTTTGATGTCCCCACAGCCTGCAGCTGCAAGCTTTGTTACGAATGTAAAAACGTCATCCCAGACCCAAGGGCCTACTTGGGATTTCCTAATGCAGGAAAAAAGTAAACCAATAAATCCCACCAAATATTGTGATAACAGATGACCTTATGAAGAGAATCAAAATGGCTGAAGATACCTGTCTTGAGATAAGAAGTGTTGCCAGCGGTTTCTGTCTTTATTTTGTCATCTGTCTGATTTATAACAAATCTACACAAAGTGCCATATTGAGCATAAATGAAATTGGAATATTGCGAGAAAGTGAGTGTATGTTACCACGTTCGGGCACGTGAAATGTAATGATTGTTTGTTTGGGTTATGATGCGTTTTTTTGTACTCTTGTTATTATTGTGAATGTCTAAGTTTCGTTTTGCTATTTTGTATATCATCATCCTGTTGTTATTTGAACGTGTTCATCTTTTATGCATATGTTAATTAGGGTTTTTCCAATTGTAGACTTTCAGATTGTTAGATATACCAATGGTGTGTATAAAACTTTCGACTTTTGGATAAAGTTAATTGTTTGGTAAAATTAATATTAAAAAGTTGATATCAAAATCAATATTTGAAAAAATCGAGAACGTTATAAGCGTTGAAGAACAAATTAAAAGTCCATGTAAAACGAGGAAAAAGGGTGGTGATTTTATTTTTGTGAAAGTAAATATGTATATTTTCTATTTAATGGATGTAACCTTTTAAAATTGAAATAACATTAACGTTTGAAAATTGAAATAACATTAAATTTTGTAAATTTTAAAATTCGGATATCTTAAAATATATATATATATATCTCACATGCATGTACTCTTGACTATTCAAATTTTCAGAATTATGAAACATTCTTAGAATAAGGAAAACGATATTTATTACCCAGAATCAAAATACATATTGAACAACTTCTGATCTGAAATGGTTTTTTAGCAATTGATTTAAAATTTAGAATTCTAAATCACTCTGGAAATCTAAAAAAAAATATTAATTTTAGTCATCTTCAAGATATGAACAATGTAGGAAGTATTTATGATTTGTTGTAGATTTTGATTTATATTCAACCCTGACTAACAATTCAAACTTAAATAAAAGCTGTCTACCCCTTGCATGCAGAAACACAATTTAATCAGTTAACAGATAATCACTTAAAGATCACAACCATACAAACCCTTTTCTTGCCGAATCTTTTATGTCTGTTATAAAAATTGAGGTTTGAAAAATGTTACTTCTATATATAAAATATCTTGCATTTGGCATCCAGATGATTTCGCTTTTTGTGAAAAGACTTAAGGACAGATGATATAAACAAAACAATTGTTGTTGCTTGGATTGGTATATATTTCTGGGTATATTTTTATAGCAAATAATAGAGCTAAAAAATGTCAAAATAAAAAAAATGTAAACCTTCTATCATGTTTAAGATTCAACCTTTCTGCAACCATTCTTGTTAATTCATACAAATATTTTTTACTTCCAATTCCATTTTTGTGTAAATTTGAATAAAGTATTAAAAACTACGCGGTTTAATCTTTTCACTTTACTCATTGAAACATGAGTCAGATTGTAATTTTCAAATTTTTTTTTTGACAATTTTGTATGTATCATCTGTTCTTAAGAGCCATATATGTACACAATTCTTTTTACTCTTTTTAATCACTTCATAATTGATAAGTATTTAATTAGATACATGATGACCATAAAAGTAGTAGGTCGTCGCAAAAAAATATCGTGGTTTGAGTTATTTTTTTGTGTCCATTATAATGAAACCGACTTGGAGATAACAAAGAGTAAAGAAGTCAAAAAGAAAACAAATTAGAGCCAAATACGGGCGTTAATCAGCATCAGATTTCAATGAAATGCCATGCAGAGTTAAGCTTCAACCCGTCCTACTTGACATGAAGATGTGCTTCTTATGAGGAATTGGCAAATGGACGTTTTGTTACATGACTTTCTGGTGTGTACATGACCTACATGTAACAATTTATATGAAGAAATTGAGTCAGCATTCAATAAATGAATGCTTTTGCTGACAATGACAATGTATCGACCATAAATCTTTTGAAATGTTGACTTAAAATTCTAAATGAGACTGCTGATATCAGTGTCTTATCAATTTATTTTTTCAATAGCTTGACTCTTTTTAGAAATGTCTTGAGCATACTGCATGTTTTTGTGTATCGAACCAGGTGGGAACACAAATTCTTTTTTTTTATTTGCAGGGTTTCAAGTGTACTGCACTCGATCTTCACATATTTTTATCGTTAATGATTTTTAGGATCGATCAAATTTTGTTTTTACCTTTTACATACTAGAAAAATGTACAATACTTAAATAAAATTATACATAATTACAAAAGTAAAATACACGGAAAATAAAATAAACATAAAATTCAAACGGAAAATGTAGATGAAAGGATCGAAAATTGCTACGTTTGAAATGCCATACTGTCAAGTCTTTAAAGATGCTTTGACAAAGATTTGATGTTTATATTTTTCTCAAATTATCTGTATAATTTTATAATTGCATACGAAAATATAATAAAAATCTTACTTCTTGTGGAAGTTATTGACACTTCGATATTCTAGACTCTTTTGATTGACACAGCATTACACTTTCACAAATATTAACTTTATCCTTAATAATTCAAGTTTAGAAAAGTTGTAATTTTGTTGTGTAATAATTTAAAACTATAAGTAAGTAAGTAAGTAAATTGTTTATTATAGTGACATGTGTTATACAGTACAATGAAAAACATTTAATACAATTAACATCCTAACACCCAGCCCATCGGACCTATATGTCACTTTTAGCAAAATTTATGAAAAATATATACATAAATATTACGCATTTTTGTACAACAGAGATTTTCTGTGCATGTATGAAAGATATAAATATTTTGAGGTCTGCCTAGGAA